TTGCTTTCAACTGAAGTTTTCTTTCCTACTTTTGGAGAGGGACTGAAGAATTTTTTGGCTTTAGGCACCAATTTTTACCCAGGAATAGAAGGAAGTGTATTTACTTCTGAATTGGCCTGAAAACAAATCCTATAGACCAAAAGACCACATATTGCCTACAAGGATTTTAAATCTGTTTAAGCACAAAATCCAGAAAGCTGCTATCTCTTGTTTGTGGATGTTCTTGCAGAAGCAGAGCTATAACTGGAACTACAACTAAAGTTGCATCAGATTTAAGTATTCAAAACTAAGGCTCTCTAAATATCTTCAAAAGCCCTTAAGTCAATTCATTACTGATACAGTAAGTGACAACACTTGTGTTTGGCAGACAGTGCAACTGGGAGTCCTGACAAATCTAATTAACAGCACATCAGGGGCACTTAGTTTATCCTTTACATACAGTGCCAATAGTGAGTGTATAATGAGAAAAGGAGCTTAAACATTAGTGGGACTTCACTAATTGGTCACCAAGCCCTGATTAAGCCAGGCTTCATATATAATTATTGAAATTCAAGTGTCTGACACCAGTGTATCCAAAAAACACTTAATGAAGACAAGTCACTTCTAAACTACATAAATAAAAATACGGCACAAAAATGAGAAGAGAAACAAACAAGAAATGTGCAACTCTGTGTTGAACTACTTGCCATTTGTATAGCCCTAGTCCAAAACATTCCAACTGATTAGATAACTGTTTTTTAAAAGTTGTAAGAGTGTGAAAAATAATGTAGTGCTTACATTACATTAAATAATGCAAATATTTAGAATATATATAGGCATTCCAGTAACCTTAAATATAAATATTTGTATACACAATAAATGTTGCCAACAAATAGTAACTACAAAAGAAGGTTTTTCAGAAGTCAAAGATTACAAGAGCAGCTTCATGTATTGGTTCATTTACATTCATTAAACCAGTAAAAAGATCTTTAACTCCAAATTCTAGAGATAACTGATTTGCATTATAAACTGGAATCCATAGCAGTATATGCCATCATATCCCCCGAAATGGTCAAAAGGTGACCTGAAGCAGCTGAAGGGGGTATATGCAGCACACCAGCACTGTTCCAGTGACACCTTACCAATGACTCCCCCTAGGGAGTCTTCCTCTTGTTCCCAGGACTTTATCTTGACTGACAAGGGTCAAGGAATCTGAAGACTCACGCCTGGGGTTGCTTTGCTACTGTCTTTATAATGCTACTTATTGCAGGAAAGGAAGATGAAAAGGGTGGGTTATTATCATGAAGTAAGTAGTCCTCAGTGGTAGCTGCTACAAGTGAAATAACCCAGCTCACTGCTTCATTTATTGAAGGATGTTCATAAAAAAATAACAGGTGTAGCTGCATACCAGAACGTAGAGCTGTGCAGGGGTAATGCAAATTGGCTCAGATATTTAATACATTCCATGAAAATTTTACAGTTTGGGCTGTGAGATTTCTTGCTATCTTTTAGAAAACACTGTTCTATTCTTCTCATTATTAAATGAAAAAAACATTTCATTGACATGAAAAATCATGTCAATACTGGACACTCCTTAATTTACAGGTTATCTAGAAAGTTACTTTGGTAACAAAGAACATGAACATTATGACCTTCACTCCTTTTTCCTGCACAGTGTGTTGACTTTTTCCTTAGGAAGAAAACAATCACTAAAATAATTAGCAAAGTTTTTTTTATCAGTAAGATGTTAAACATGTTAGGGTGGCGCTTTCTGAAACAAAACATTCCTGTACGAGATTTGCAAAGTGATTCTGATTACACCACGAAGATGAATTTTCAGCACACAGAGGATGGCACTATCCAAGTCCTGTACTGAGTTCTGCAAACTCCAACCACACTGATGGCCTCTAGAAGTCATGGAGATAAACAAGCAAGTTTGCCATTTTGCAGCAGTAGCACAGAAACATATTTTAGACACACACTGCTGTAAAACAGACGATAAAACATGAAGAATTGTTTAGTAACTGACACATAATACTAACGATACTCGGGAAAGAAAACCCACAAGTTCTGCTCTAAACTTCCTGTCAAAAACACCTGGTTTGCACTGTAAGCAAAATAAAACTCCCTCTGCTGTTCCCTCACTCCTTCTGGAAAGACTAGAAAAGCTCATCTTGCATACTGTTCCTAATATTGCCTTGGAAGGTCAGCTATTATTCTTTGACCTCCTTTTCACATCTCAGACTAACTAGGTCACGGCCACTGCCATGCTCCACTTCATCTTTGACTTCATTCTAAAATCACAGACCTCCCCGCCCTCCTCCTTTAGGGCCATTCACAAAAATCACAAGCCCTGAATGAGTGTAGTCCCTGAAAGGCAGCTGCCTGAGCTTTAACTCCTTCCCCTTTGTTTATACCCAGTCCAAGACTTTCAGTATGAAAATGAAATTAACTTAGTAACTCAGGATGTTTGATATTTGAGATTATAAACTTTGTCACAACTGAAAGCATAAAAGTAGACTCCGAAACTATTTGTATTTCCTTGTCCAAATTACATCTGCTCAACTTTTCTCCATTCAAGGTGGGTATATATCTGTATAGATCTAATATATCCATCCATCTTTCCCCATTCAAGGAGAATGGTGCACGCATTTTCAACAGGGATTACCTGTTTCCTGAGTTCAACCTGTACATCACTGTACATACATGCAATTTGTCTTTTACATATGTAAAGGGATTTAGCAACCATTTTTTTAAAAAACCACTTTTTTGGGTTATGAAGGTATTACTCCCAGGGTAAAATACCTGCACACTCTCAGTGGGCCACTTCCTGTGATTGTGCTTTACCTACAGCAAGTGGCTGCTTACAGCAAGAGTTTCACCAAGAATTTGTATGAAATTAACATGAATCACTTAATTTGTGCTATATTGAGAAACAAAACAAGTTAAAAGATTAAAAGTGTCCAGGCAGATCAGTCCCCAAAGCTGCTTGCTATTTGCTACTACTGTTCACAGCTGACTCAGCTCTAACTTCTGCAGTCTTCATTCCCATATTTCAGTAAGTTTAGTTAACTCCAGTGATTTATTTATAGCAGAAAAATCAGCAACCTAAAGCAACACAAAAACTATCTTGAATTAGGGCATAGTTAGTATTGCTAAATAAATGCTCTTAAAATGGTGTCTATCCCTAGGATCTATAGTATCAAGTACACTTTATAAAAAACCAACCAAACTAACAACCCACACAAACCAACAACAAAGAGTCTATGCTTCAACCCTAAAATTCTCTATTAAAATGTCACAGTTTTATATACAGGAATGATGTAAATACAACTGAAGTTGAACAGTAGTTCATTGTCTTGCAACATGTTCCAGACCAGATATATTAATGTACATACTGTACATATCTTTACAATGCAATGATCCTCTACAGATCATCTCACTGTACAGGTGATTCAGTGTCACATACATGACAAGACACAGGACCTACTAATCTGCCAGAATGCTAAAGTAATGATATGTTCTTCCATGCCAGCACTGCTGCTGGCTTTGACAGACACCAAATACTGCCTCAGATACTTTAGTTCTTAAATTGATACATAGCAGGAATAGACACAAATCTCTTAAATACATTGAATCTGAGCACTAAGATTGCAACAAAGTTGATAAAACAAGTAGCTTTTGCTGAAAGGAGCTGTCTCTCTTTTCCAGAGGCTGGAAAAGACACCACTTCCTACATCACTTTAGGGAATTTATAATCCAGAAAATTAAACTTGATATTGTGGTGATCAGAAAAGCAGCAAACAGAAAGGAGGACAGTGGTTACATACAGCCAGGACATAGACAGGCAAGGAAAAACCTGGACCTTTCAATGGCTTCTTGCCATAGATTGATGAGAAATCAAAGGTTACACACACACAGTGTAAATCTACTTAGCTACAAAGAGTAAATAGCAGAGATATCCCCATGCTAAGTTAATGCTTTCAGTTTTCAGAAACGAAACAACTCCATGTTCAATTACTACATTATATATTTAAAACAACTACTTTTTGGGAGTACCTGGTTAGCACAATGCCTCTTACAGTGTAACACTACAAACGATTGGCTTCATTCTGTAACAGATGTCTGACAATTCTGTTGTAAGACAATGCAGGGAGATCAAAGGATAAGAGGGAGAAAGTACCTAAAATCTACAGAATCACTTCCACCTGTACCTACAGCTGCCATCAGACACGCTGTTGTGACTGTAGCTATGCTGGATCAAGAAGTTACCACCCCATTTCATCTCCACTTGCTCATTACCTTTAAATCTTCCAGCATAACTGCGTGTTTAGTCACTTCCTAACCCAGTTCTGTCAAAATGATTCCTGTTAGAAAATCTGTGTTTCAGCTTAACTCAGATTATTTTTGACAGAACTTGTTTAGCGGATGCCTATAAATGCAAGTACCAGAAGATCTGAGAACATTGTAACCTTCAGAGCTAGGAGAGGATACCGCAGTGAGCACGTGGAGACAGCCAGCCCTTTCCCAGGGTTGTGTTGCTGCAAGAGAAGCCCATTAATCAGGCACAGAGGTCTGATTTGTCAGCCTGCCTAATGAGGGAGAGCTGTGAATCAGGGCTGGCATCTTTAAAGAAAATAGATAAGTAAATCTATAAACTACTTATTTTGCTGCTTAAAATGTCAGGCTGGGTTAAGTGTCCAGAAATTCAAATCATTTGATATAACTATCTGGAATTCTGCTGTATAAAGACAGAAACAGGCAGATGCTATTCAAAAGACATGACATTTCTGTAGAGTTAAGGGATAAATACCAGCCTCACCTTCTTATCTTAAATTACCATAACAAGACTTGAAATACTATTTCACTGCTTTCTACTTACTGCTGAAGTGAACAGTGTCTGTGGTTTTACTTGTTACACAGTAAAAGTGCAAAAACTACCACCAAAATGCAGCGTGGAATTACCATCATGTAATACACAGCTTTGAAAGGAACAGTACTTGATCTAGAGACCACGTTACCTTTTATTGACAGGCTTCTCATCCTTGTCATAGGGCCTTATGAACCATTTTCCAATTCTTACGAAGTTTTTATCCATCAAGCACCTAGAAAATAATTACAGCCACAATTACTAGCTACATCTTCAGATGTAATTAAAAGCAGTCTTTGAAGGCAATATATCTAAGGGATTAAGCAGCTGAATTTCCATAATTTTGAAATTAACTTTGTAGCTTTTGAGTTCCATGTAATTTTGCCACTTTCTGTTTTCCCACACTAGTCATAGAGAATTACTGTCCAACTACATGATGCTGTCACTGATGCTGATCTTCACACATGCATTTGCCCCTCACCTCCAGCAGGATCTTCTCCTGTCCATGTTACTCTTTCAGTGGAATGATCCAACATCCTATTTTTAAAACTCCTTTTCTTGAACAAAGACAGGTCATAGCACTGATTCTTTTCTATACAGTGTTTCTCTCAGACTTCATGATAAAGAATATGCATTCCTGTATTTATGGCATGTATATGGCAAATATAGCATGTGAATGAAAGGAAATTGTATTAAGTAAATATTAACAATGAATCACTTTTTCTTTACATGATTCACAGCATTATTTCAGGTGTTGAAGCTTCCAAAATTACTGTTTCCTCTCTCAGAAAACCCTACTCCAGCAAACATATACCCATGGCATTAAATTTAAGAGCAGTAAGTTACCCATTTTCTGCGATCCCTTTCTAAGTGCATAATTCCTTTACAGAAACTCTATATTCTAGAGTTTTAAAAAAAACTAACAGTGAGGATGCCAAGTGATCAATAACCAATTTAGGCTGACATGTTGAGGACTGCTTGATGCCTTTCTGAGTCTACTTGTACAGATGAATCACACTAGCAATATGCCAACACTACCTAAGTATGCTTCATACATTAAACATGATGTTGAACATACTGCTCAAGGGATCATAGACAGGAATTTGTTACAAAGGAATATTTTCCAGTAAGGTAATTTATTATGTTTTAAAAATCTAGAAAAACTGTTACTAGTGGTTTATTTATTATTATGAGCAAGAAGCAAGCACTGTCTACACATTTAATGTCTCATCAGAAATTCTTTATTTAGATGGAATAACAATACTTCTCTATTCTTCAAAGTTTTTCAATAGCTTATTTCTATAGCAGATGCTAAGGACTAGCCAAAACAAACAAAATTTAAAAATCACATTAAAACTTCTGGGAAAGTACATTCTTCAGTTTAAAAAGCTTGTGTGATCCATACTTCAAAAGCATACCTAGAAGATATATATAGGAAATGGATGACAGACAATGTAGATACTAATATGCTCCTAATTCTTCTGTACAATCTTGGCAGGGTTTTCCAGACCTAAAGCTAGGCTGAAGAAAATTCCACAAAGCACTTTCTCAAAGCAGAAAGAATCCAGCCCAGTTGAACCTACCAGTATCTTAAATTGAATTTGGAAGCTAAACCATCAAGAGATTTAAAGACACTGCTCTTCTGATGGGAAAAAAAGCAAGCTTACCAACTGTTTCCCTAGGAAATACTTGCTATCAGAGAAAGTCTGTCAGTGCACTTTATACAAACAAAAGGAAGCCTGTGAAGTTTACATCAGATCCCTAAAGAAAATAATCTGTACTACCACTGAACATAATAAACTCTCCTCCACCACATTCACACTTTAATGCCACATCACCATGTCTCATAATGGCAAGTTTAACTGCCTCAAACTAATGCTACTTTACCACAAAAAAAGTCTTCATGGGTAGATTCGGCCTTAAAAATCAGCCAACCCTCACAAGAACAACTACACCAAAGATTATTTAAGGTATAATCCCATACGAAATGGGAAACATGATTGCAGAAGCATGGATCTCAAAGATTCAGCTGAGAGAATAATTAATGACAGAGCAGTGTTATTTTTGCTGTGTAAGCACTCAATGGTAACTAGTCTTGAACAGCAACAATGAATTTGTGTAAAAATAAAACACTGGTCATAAAACTCCAAATGAGTATACACTTCAAGGCAGTTATTTAATCATACGAAATATGGACATAAAACACCCTGAGCTCCTTGGCTTACTTCTCTAGTTCTGAACAGAACAGCTGTTAGAGCATTTCCCTGTCACTCAACCACTCATATTTCTGATTTTTCTATGAAAAAAAATTACCTGACAAGGGCACACTCATAATTATTAAATAATACCATCATATTTTTAGCATTATTTCCTCACATCTTCCAGAATTCCTTGCCAATTAACCAACTTCTGATCACCAACTTGGGCAATGAGAATTAAAACAAGATCAATCAGCCACATAAAACACCCTTTCTTGCCCTTCCCAGGGTTAACTTACACCAAACATCTCTCCTCCCTTCTACCTCCTCCTGTTTACACTCCAGCCTTCCCTCGGTCCCTCCCAAGAGGGACAGAGATCCCCTGCCCTTTCCACCACCATTTACTTCCCACCACAGGCTTTCCCCTCATGGAAGCTTCTCCTCCCTTCTCTCCAGCAGCTGCTCTTTCTTCCTTGAAGGGGGCTGAGCCACCGTGCTGTGTGACAGAACCGGCTGGAACCCGTTGGGAGCGGCTCCCTGGAGCCACAGGTGCAACCGCTCAGCACGACCCTGCACCTGGGAGGGGCGTTCTGAAGGAGAAAACCCCACCTTCCCCACTGAAAACCAAACCACTGAACTTCCAGCGCAGGCAGCAGCCCCAGCTCTGTCAGGCAAGATCAAAAAGAAGTTCCAAGTCTTCTTGTTTATTAATCGAGCTCTTCCCTAAGCCCAGGGTAAAATGGGTCTTTAAAAATTAAAGCATTCTTTCTCCTTTTAATAAAGCTTACGCCTTTCTGCTGTTACTTTAAATGAAATAATCACAATGTTAACTTCAGATTTGGTTTGGCAAGCAAAAAAAGTGTGTAGCTTAAACTCAACTATAAAAACGAGATAACTAATTGTACACACATGGGTTAAACATGATCCTAAGTCACCTCGACAGCTATTTCATGAGGGGACTTCTGAAGTCAGGCTGCTTGTGCTGTTCTTCAGATCGTCTCAGCCACCTCAGCACCCTCAGGGAGCCAGGGGACCCTCATCCCCAAGGATCAGAGTCTGACCAGCTTATGGTGACATGACACGAGGCCTTGGGGGGACACCTGAGGGGTGGTGGCATTTCCAAGATTGGCTGAGAAGAAAAGGGCTGTGAAGACTTCTCAGCCACAGCTGGGCAGAACCATGCTGCTAACTCTGCCAACTGATTTCAACTCAGTTATCTAAAAAAAAAATAATAATAAAAAATTTACTTCACAAGCTTAAAAAAGGCCCAATGAATAAAAATATCCAGCAGGAGTCTTACTTAAAAGTCAGCTGGCTGGCTACTACGGATGAATATACATGTATAAAATTATTTTTTTTTCCCTTTCATACTGCAAAGCTACCAAAGAACTAGAACATTCTAGCCAGTGAATTTGATTTTTATGCTTTTATTCACTCTAAGTACTCAAATACCTATGTAAAAATCCCCTAAAAAGACTGATGAGTTAGGAAATAAAAACAACTAGTCCTTGTACATGTGTACATGCACATAGGCAGCCATTCAAACTTCACTTGCTAGTAGATATGAACTGCAAGTCGTGGGGACAGTTACTACACTCATGGAAACACAACCTCAGGAACATAATGCAAGCCCAATTACCAGTGAATCCACATCAAAGCAAAGAGGATATAAATGAGACAAGATAAAAGTATTTTTAATTAGCTTATTTTCTGAAAGAAATCATACCCTGTGCTACATTCTACAAAATTACTGTAATACAAAAGTACAGGAGAGGTGCATTGTATTTTCTTGTTGTTGTTATTATTATTATTATTCACAAAAAGGGGGAATGGCTTAATGACAATTCTGAAAAAGATCTCCAAATTTGTAAAAAGAACTGAAATATAATAAAGGAAGGTGATGATGACCTGAAGAACTGCAGTAACAGAGAAGGAATAAAATGCAGTAGTCCAAGATGCAATGTCATACACTGAGAGCCAATCTTCAGTACAAGATTGGCTTGTACAAGTTCAAGACAACCTTCAGTAAGCTTAAGAGCTGATAGCTGGGCTAAGAAGAAAAAGCTGTAAGTGCATTAACTTTATCATAGAGTATCTTTGCTGTCAAGTCATATCTATTTGTATAAATGATCTAGACAAAAGAAAGCAATGCTAGGATACCTGAGGCCTGTCAAGAGGTAGGAACTGTTAAACTTCAGCCTGAATATTGTGCCCCAATTTAGTCCAATTGCAATATGCACGTAACTAGGATGACTGGAAGAGTTAAGATCTTTTAATGTTATCTGTTAAGATATATACTGTTTAACGTCATTGAAGGGGTTGGAGGTCAGATACTCTGCAAGCACCTAAAAAAGGTGAAAACTTCTTTTTTTTGCTGTTGAAAGGAGCTCCCCAACAAGAATGCAAGCAGACATATCTATCGACATTATTCTTTGTATGAGTGTTTAATGAGTCTGCACAGCGTTTTATGACACATTATCCGAGTCAACTACTTGAGATCCATCTCTATCCTGCACCTCCTGAACTAAAGTTTCACTAAAAATGTGGTTTAAGATCAATAATAATATAAATGGCCTGTAGGTATCCTGCATTATCAACATGAAATATTTGAGTGCAATAGTTTTTCTTACCTCTCCAGAAGATTGTGAATTGCTTTGAAGAGCAAGGTCCTACACTCATAAGAAAGTCCATTCTCCCACAATCCTTCTTCCACCACTACAAAAACATAAAATGACAAAATACTCAGAATAGTGAAATAAAAACATTTATTAAAAAACCAAAACTCCAACAGCTTTAATTTTCAACAGTAGCATATTCCATGAAACTGTTTCAACTGTTACCTATACTGCCAAAGTAGCTTTAAGTTTTACTTGCAGAAGACAGCAACTTTTAAAAAAGAGACAAGACAAAAGCATAAAAGCAACCACATTTGTTCACAGCATTTAATATTAAAGCAGAGGGGTGAGGAATTCACGATCATTCTTTGCCATGACTGCTGAGAGATACTTTGAAACTTAGCCACAGATGCAGACAATTAACAAAGCGAATCATTACAGGAGCAAATCCAACTTAAAACAACTCTCCTGAACTTCTCGAGTGAAATTCCTCCATTGCACTGATGTAAAAGGAATACCCTGCAAATACATAAAATACACAGCAGGTTTTTTTATTCCAAAATGAAAACTGTAAAGTCATTAACTAACTGCAGTTTTTTAGTTAAAAATAAATCAATCAGTCTCTCGGAGTGGAGTGAGTTAAAAATAAATAAATCAATCAGTCTCTCGGAGTGGAGTGCAGCATGAACTGCTCACCCAGCTGAGGGCCTGAGGGATATACAAACCTCAGAAGTACCTGCTGTCCTTACTCCATTGCCTCTGAATGCTAAAGCTCCCAAGGCTAAAACTATTTTTGGTATGCCTGTAGCAGATTCTAAACCTTATTCAGCCAGAAGATGCAATATCAGCTACACAGTGAAAACAGATGATTAAATAACTTTGTTGAGGAGTAAGAATTTGTTAATTGTCTGAGTTCTGTAATTTCAATCTTACAGGAATACTCTGCAGATCTTTAGAAATGCAAACATGAAATTCTGCAGCATGTTAAGAACTGAATAGTTAACACCCCTCCTTAGCCAATTTAAAGGATGAAACCTTCCAACAGCACGTCTATCATGCAGAGATTACTATCTAAGTATAGTTTACTCTACAATCATGTTTAAAGTAAAGCTTCTAAGGGGCTGTGTTAAAAATACCAATATTGCCAGCAGTCTTCAGCTGCAGCTTCAAAGCCTCAAAACCCAGCATTGTTCGTTATTCTGCTGCTTCTTCCAGTAAGACACATAACCTCAAACAAGAGGCAGCACCTTTTCTGAATGTGTAATGTTGTGATATGTTAATCAGCATAATGTTGTGCTACACCAAGCCAGGGCTCCAGTACCTAAACCACCTTATCAAACAGCACAGTTACTTCTGAGGAAGAATGAAAAGGCAGACTTGTGCTTTTGGAC